TAGAGACAGGAAACAATTGGACAGGTGAGAATTGAACAGGAGCAGGAAAGTACCTTTAGCTGGGATTCGAACCCATGCTGTCTGAGCTGCAGTTGTGGTCTTGCTGCAATCTCTATCAAGACTCCATTATAGGAATATTTTATTGCTCAGTGGTTGCTCTTTCTAACCTCAGGAGACTTAGTTGTGATTCTCATGTATTTCTCATTTTAGTCTCAACAGTGTCTCAGATGTCTCTCCTAAAAATCCTTAGGAGAAATAAAAGTAGACACAACTGAGACATGAGAAAGTTCTGAAAGAAAGGAATCCAAAATGACAATGAGAGAGAAACGTGTGAGAAACATGGGAGATCTCTTTATTGTCTTGCTGTAATCTCTTGCAAGACTCCATTATAAAAATGTTTTACTACTCAGAGGTTGCTTGTTTGATTGCAATGGGGTTTTACACCTTTAATGGTCAGGACAGTAGAAGTAGAGACAGGAAACAATTGGACAGGTGAGAATTGAACAGGAGCAGTAGAGAACCTTTAGCTGGGATTCGAACCCATGCTGTCTGAGGTGCAGTTGTGCCTTCACATCGATGTGCTGCCCACAAGTCTATGGCTCTGACAGAGCTTACTCTTCGCTCAGGATACTAAGGGGTGATTATCTTATATGTCTCATTGAGATATCAGCTTTGTCTTAAGATGTCTTCAGTTTTATTTTTATTGTTATGTATTAATATAATTTAAATAGTAGTTTAAATAGCATTAAAACATCTCAGAATATCAAGGGTTACTAGTTTAAATGTTTAAATTTATCCTCAATGTCCAGCATTGTATACACCACATTTTCCAAACAAACTAAAAAGGACTTACAAGTGCAAGATGTTTAGTATAAGAGCAATACCTTTTTTGTAACAAATGTAACACTAGTGTACCAGTTTTTTTTTTTTTCTTTGTTTACTATTAAATGTTGTCTTGTACAGCCCATTTTTGCATGTAATATCACTATGCAATAAAACCCTATCTACATAAAACAAATATGACAATGCATGTATTGTCTTTGATTGAAATGGTGTTGATAAATGACATTGAAGCTAACCAGAGTGAAGAAAAATAAAATAAAAAAATATCTCTTTACCATTTCAAATATTTCTCCTAGACAGAAATAAGGTTACCTTAAGATTGAATGGAAACCTTTGCTTGAGTCTTTTAAAGCTTTAGAAGAGATCTCAACAACATCACACACTGTGCTCAGATATTTCTCCTTAGCTAGAGGCTCTGGATCTCTCGCATTTGTCTCCTCTAAAGTTTAGAAGAGATCTCAACAACATCACACACTGTGCTCAGATTTTTCTCCTACACTAAAGACTCGAGAGCTCTCATATTTGTCTCCACTAAATTTCTGAAGTGATCTCAATAACTTTACAAAGTGTGCACCAAGTCAAATGCATCACTATGAGCTCAAACATTTATTCCATATAATATGTATTAATAATCAAATTAGTCAATTAATTATCAAGACTGAGTCATAAGCCATTTATGTGCCTTTCAGCAAAGAAAGCTCCAGGGTTACATTTTCTGTAAATCAGTTTTGATTAAAGCATCCGGTACATTACTATTTCCAACAACAAATTATGTGCCTAAGTACATAAACATTGTCCCATTAAAAGTAACATTATCCTTATTTCTGCATAATTTCTCTCTCAATATAGCCTTTGACTATCAATATAGCCACCCCCCTTTATTTAGTGCTTTTCAAGTACTTGACTTGATGCACACTTTGTAAAGTTGTTGAGATCTCTTCTAAAGCATTACAGGAGACAAACATGAGACCCCCAGATTATTTAGCTAAAGAGAAAAATCTAAGCACACAGTGTGATGCTGTTGAGATCTCTAATCTAAACTTTTGAGGAGACAAATGCGAGAGATCCAGAGTCTCTAGCTAAGGAGAAAAATCTGAGCACAGTGTGCAATGCTGTTGAGATCTTGTTTGACACTTTGGAGGGGACAAATGTGAGACCACCAGAGTCTTTAGCTGAAGAGAAAAATCAGTGTGTGATGTTGTTGAGATCTCTTCTAAAGCTTTAAAGGAGACAAATATGAGACCATCAGAGTCTTTAGACAAGGATAATCATCTGAGCACAGTGTGTGACGCTGTTGAGATCTTGTTTGAAACTTTGGAGGAGACAAATGTGAGACCACCAGAGTCTCTAGCTAAGGAGAAAAATCTGAGCACAGTGTGTGATGTTGTTGAGATCTATTCTAAAGCTTTAAAAGAGACAAATGTGAGAGATCCAGAGTCTCTAGCTAAGGAGAAAAATCTGAGCACACTGTGCGATGTTGTTGAGATCTATTCTAAAGCTTTAAAGGAGACAAATGTGAGAGATCCAGAGTCTCTAGCTAAGGAGAAAAATCTGAGCACAGTGTGTGATGTTGTTGAGATCTATTTTAAAGCTTTAAAGGAGAACATTGTGAGATTGTTAGAGTTTTTGTCTCAGAAGACAAGTTTGAGAAGCAGGAGACTCAAGCAAAAATCTCCATTCGATCTTAAAGTAACCTCATTTCTGTCTAGGAGACATATTTGAGATGTTAAAGAGATCTCACTTTTGATTTTTCTTTCCTATGGGCAGCCACTGGAACAATCAGACAGTAAGCAAACAGGGGCATTCAGACTGTGCATGACACTCCTAAACTAGCCAGACTTTTCCATCGGTATCAAGTCTAGTCGGACAGACGGTATCAAGTCTAGTCCACACTGCAGCTTATTTTGGCTAAGAAAATACCTATTTAAACAGCAAGAGATGGTCTGACCAAAATTGACCTTGTATGTGGCCACTGAGGGCGAGGTTTATCTGAAAGGGATTTTTCTTGTACATAAAACATTGGAAATGTCTACAGACCTTGTGATAAAGATTGTTGTCCACCCAAACTAGCACATACAATTTCTTTCCCAGACTTACAAACAAAGCAAAATATGCAGTTCTGCTTGTTTACTTGCTATTAAGTGCTTCAAACATTTTTTTTTTCATCGATTTGATTCCACTAACCTGATAGATTCAAGATAAATTCAGTCATTAGTTCTTTCTGATCAACCCAGTACCTTTTAGGTGGATTGATAAAACAATAAATAATGGAATCTGTGTTCCTTTATTTCAGAATGTTTCATAAAGCCAGCCAGTCGCATTAGTCAGTAAATGTATATATGAAGAGTTTGGTTCCAAAACGCGATAAATGCCATTTTTTAAAAATTGAGTTTCTGCCAAAATCAGTATTGTATCTGGTCGGTATTGAAAAATCAGTTTTAAATTTTACGCAAAATGCGATATCCGCCGAGTTATTCTGTCATGTTTTCTCCCTTTCTTTCCAAACCGCGACAAACGCCAGTCTCCCTTCTCTGCAGAATGTGATATATCCACTCAACCAATCACAGCGCACCATTCCACGCACTCTAGATATTAATGGTGGCGCTTTGAATAAACCCGGCATCCTAGTTTTCCTCATCTACTGTGTACTTTGTGATCAACAAACAAACTTAGGGCTGCACGATAAATTGCATGTGATTGTCATGCGGAACTCGTCAGTAAAGCCGGTTCTGTGATTAATAGTAAATCTCCATCACGTGCTTTCAGATGGATACACAGAGCCGTAGATCATTGACAAGCTATGCAATATCGCATTCATAATCGCAGATGAGTCTCATTCGATTATGGACGCGATATTGCGTAGCTTGTCAGTGTAAGTGTTTTTATTAATGCCATTTATGTTTTTGTTAATACAGCGTATAGCACTAGTCAACTAAATGAATGTAACATGGCAAAGATTAATGCACTTTTGGAAGTTGAATGTAAGGGAAATGTCATTTTGGAATTTCTGTGGTCTAATGTGATATTGTTGTTCATGTTCTTTTATTGCTGTAATTAATTTATAGCATTAACAAGATGACCCGTTGAATTCATTTTGGGAGCGATGACTGATTGAATGTATTTTTAGTCCAGTGCCTGCATATAAGATTAATATTGACCAAGTTAATATGTGGATTAACTATGTTGTGCATTTTCAACAGTTTCAATATGAAAAAAATAACTTCTATATTGATTCAGTGGATTCAATAGATTTATTGCATTTTGAAAAAAAAATGGGTTTGGGTTAGATCTTTCACCTTTGCCTCCATCTCTAAATCAAAGCTAACTGCATGCCATAAGCATATTGTACCACACATCGAGTGTGTCATCAAATGTTATTCAGTTCCTGTGAATTGATGATTCAGAAAGCGTGACCCTGTACAAATTTGTTCATTTTCCCTCTGAAGTTAACCTGCCAGAAGACTGAATGAAAGGTTTGGAGATACAAAACAGAACTGATTCATACTTGGAATATAATAGAGAGCTACCTCTATTGTGGACCCTCACATTGGTGTAACTCCAAGCTGGAGTTCATTTTATGTTTAACTTCAATTCACTATGTAGTGTATTGGTAAAATAACAAAGATGCAAGTTGTGCAGCATTCAGAGTTGTGTGCAATTTTCTAATTGCTTCATGCTACAGTGTCCTTTCAGCTTCATCATGGAGTTCTCAGAACACCACAATGTGGCTTTTATACTGCTGTAAAGATTTAATCCCTGACATTTTAGGGTCTGCCTGTGGCCAGCCGTTTATGTGGAGGAGAAATGTAGCACAGAAGATTCCTTCATGTCAGTCTGTCTCCAAAATCTGCTACTGTGCTCTATAATGCTCTGTCTTTTTTATCGTTGGTTATGTTCACACCCTGTTGTTGCTTTATGCGGCACTTGCTTTATTCCATCCCTGCTGTGTCTACATTTAGAGGCACTTAAAGGCTTCAAGTGTCAAGAGGTTCTTAAAAAACTACACCAAACCCCACCCAAGGCAGACAACAGCATTTTTAACTAAACCTTTCTCTCTTGATTTGTTTGTTACTCTTTCATGTTTTTTTCTGCTGTGAGCTTGCAGGGCATGAAATGGCAATATTACATTTCTACACCTTTCTCCCCTTTTATTGCAGACCGGAAGAAAGGAAAAAGGAGACCCATTAAATTCAGCTATTGACAAGATGACCAAGAAGACCCGTGATCTTCGCAGACAGGTGAGTCAGTCCTCTGCCTGCTGTCTTTCTAGAAAATAAGAAAATAAAAATACTATGACCACTACATTGAAAGAAAGTGATATATTATCTCTTGTCATTCAAAATCTTTTTTTATGAAACATTGTGTTACATGGAAACACAAAAGGACATAAATAAGGGATGAGAGGATGGTGATTGTAACTGTCAAGCTCCAAAAAGCACATAAAATTATCATAAAAGTTGTATATATGACTTGTGCACTATATTATGATAGCTAATTGTAAGAAAGAGACTGACATTTAAGTCGTTTTTCACTGAAGCTCTTCAGCTCTGCCATTTGAGTCCCTTTACAATAGCATCGCACTTTAAGAACCACTGGTTTACTGAATCATCTTTTCTGAAAGCATCAGGTATTAACATTTGCACAAGGAAACATAAATATGTTTCCTTTGAGTCTGGAGATGATTCAAACCTTCAAATAAAAACAGACAAATGCTAAAAATGGAACTGTAATGCACACCACTGAACTCTTTGTTGTATTTTTACTCAGTGTTCAAGAAGACAAGTCTTTTGAGAACAGTTTAGGCTTAAATAACACCTCCTCACATTTCGGAACATCTGACTGTCATGCATAAGAGCATCAAACACCAGTATGTCTCTAACTCAAGAAGCCGAGGTCCACACTCTTGACTTCAGCAATCATCACAGCTTAAAAGCTCTTTTGATGCATTTTCTCTCTCCATCACCATGACAATGGAACAAAGTGTCAGATCGGTCAGCACTGATATAAACTAAAAACAGAGCCTAGACATAAAACTGCAAGGCATTAGACAGAAGGGCATTCCTATCAGACTGGCATTCCCATCAGGAGAGTTTTTGCTGTAAACGTAATAGCGAATCAACATTATATTACACTATTATGCGATACTATTACCTGACATTTGCATCATGGAAATGAAGTATTTTGTCTGCTCTTCAGTTTAAAGAACAAGGCTAGATAAATATTTCACTGGTTAAGAGAAACATAGGCACTCCTGTCAGCCCAGTTAGGGCAAGATTGTCAATATATAGCATCATAAATTTGACTCTGTTCCTCACACATTGTTGTTGAATGACTTTAGAAGACTTGGCATACTTTTATGATACTTTTATGGTGCTTTTTGTCATTCTGGAGTTTGATAGCACCCACACCCATTTACTACTTTTATTATAAGGAAAAGAGTAGGTAGGATATTGTTTACCAAAAAAAAAACAATCTTGTGTGTTCCTTGTAAGAAAGAAAGTCATATTCTAGGTTTGAAATAGCACGAGGGTGAGTAAATGGTGACAGAATTTTCATTTTGGGTGAACTATTCCTTTCATAAACTCACCATACAACACATTCAGGTAGGGAAAAATTGTCCCTACACTCTAAGGATCAAGATGTCAGCTGTCAGAGAGCATACAATCACCATAGTCACCCTCTTATTTGTAAGATTTCTTCACATGCTCTAGAAGATTGTTGTGTTCGACCATTCAAAACTTGTTTTGTGTTCTGGCAAAATAACATTTTTTTTTTTTGCACTATTCTATTATAGTAGATGTTTTAACGGTGCCTGGTTATTTTTTGTACTGCTATTACAAGTTTGAAATGGACTCTTCCCTGTCTGCCTGTTTCCTTGTTGCTCATGCCATAACTCAGGATAGTCACTAGTGAAAAGTTTAAGACTGTGTGCGTTGTTGTGGTGCCATCGGCCAATCAACAGCATCATTGGGGCATTTTCACGCCTGGCTTGTTTGGCAAGTTTGTTTCAGAACCTGGCACATATTCTTCCTTAGTTTGGTTTGTTTAGGCTTATATGAACACAACAGTCTTGTTTATATCTGCACCAATACAATCAGTCCAAGATCGTCTGAACAAGGCCTTTCAAGGAAAGTCTGTTCACTCAGTGTCCATATGTGCAACGTCTCTGGGCAGCTATTTTGGGCATCCAAGACCAAGTCCTATCTAAATGAATGGGAGAATCCTGAAATCTCAAAAACTGCTTGCCAAACTCACAATTGAATTGCATATATCAAATCAGCAACAAAATCTGAAATTGTCTGCCCCATAAATGTTGTTCCTTATGCTCAAATATCATTAAAAAGGCTTATTTTTCAAGCTAGACTAGCCAATGCGCAAGTCTCAGGTTTATATGGGAACCGGAGCTTCTAAGGGCCGCTGCAGTGACACAATGACTTTTCCAATCAGCGATTGGCTCTTTCACTTTTCACTTAGGCATATTCTGCCGTATTGCACGTTGCAGTTTCTCTCATTCATAAGTAATAGGAGTGAACCGTCTTTGTATATCTATAGTCTTTGGGACAAGCTGGTCTCTGCCCAATTAAAAATAAACTCTGCAGCAATCCAGTTGTGGTGAGAAAGCAATCTAACCCAACAGCGAACCGAACCAAGAAGAAAATGCCAGATTGCAACAATTTAAGGCCCTGTTTTCGAACAAAGCATACAGTTTAAGGGTCTGAAAATGCACTTAGTCAGATGGCATTCTGAAGTGATTGGCTCAAAAAGTTCTGTGGGGCCATGAGCAAGTGTAGCAGATTTTAAATCTCACACTTTCGGGTGGTCCTGGGACAGTTAAGATGAATATTAAGGCTAACAGATTGCCTTCTCCAGGTATTATAGACCTTCTTGGCCTGCCCCCACTGAGAGAAGACCCTCTTTACCCCACATCACAGTAAATCCACAGAGAGAGCAACTAATGTGGAATGGATGTTCGTTTTGAGCAACCTGCTTTAATTACACACTTGGACTTCAGGAGTGTGTTAGTGGGTGTATAAATCAGTCGGCGCAGAGGTTAAGAAGCAGTACACACACACACACACACACAGCTGGAGTTAGCACATTAACATTCACCATTTACCCTCCCCCCGGTTTGTATAGTCTTTTATAATTGGAAAACATCTTTTCAAATCTTCCCACTCCCACCCCCTTCACCAAGACTGTAAATTTGACGGGCGCATTTTCAGACTCAGCAGTCGTACATCACCTCCCTCGTTTCTGCTCCTCTGCGCTGAACCCCACGGCCGTCGCATTCCCGCATCTTCTGTCACCCGCTTCACTGGACCAATATTTAGAAAGCTGTAAACTTTTCCTGACACATGTATTGTAGTTACATGTCAGCTGAGGGAACCGGCTGTTTACAGATTTGCCAGGCCAAGCATTTTTAATCCTCTTAAGACATTTATTTCATTATCTTTCATGGTCTGTGGGGGGCAAGATGTTTCCCTCACGGATGCATGGAGATTTTATGGTACAGTAAAGTGGTTTAAAGGAAATGAAAAGTGTTTGATAGCCCTGATTTACCCCGGCTTACTCCACTCCGGCATCATCTCCCGGTAATTCTGGCTGATCACTTCCTGTTTCCTCTGCTGGTGAGCTCCATATGCTCTTGCATCTGATAAACCACCTCTCACCTTTACAACATGTCGCTAGAATCTCATCACAAAATAAATTACATTTTAATCACTTTAATGGGGTTTAAGATCCCGAAAAAAAAAAAAACTTGCCAAGGGATCAAGGAGGATTCTAAGCAAGTTGCAGACCAATCTGTTGATGTTTTTGATGTGAAATCCTTGCACATATGTTGGATGTTCTCATTATGTATTTTAATTTCAGAGAGTGATCTGTGAGCAGCACTCACCTGCTGTGATTGTTCTGTTGTTTACTGACCTTACAGAACATCCGCCACAGACTTTATTACAGCAAAACAGCCCAAAACAGCTCTAAAATGAATTACAAATTGTTATTGGGTTTTATTAGTTGATTGCGGGAAAATGGTGCATTTCCTTGACTAGCGCAGGAGTTAACTGATGCACAACTCACCCATCTAGAACGCAATACAACCTGTACGGCACGCTGTGGAACATGTGATATTTGTGTACATTTGCATGTATAGATCTGGGTAGACATATGTGCTGGTAATGGCATGGTTTGTGTGTGTGTACACGAGTAATTGCATTTCCTTCTCAAGGCTCAGCCACTGAAGATATAAGATGTGAACCTCTGTGATCCGCTCAGGGCTTTTCAGGCCCCTCAGTCAAATGAATGGAGGCATAGCCATCTCATCAAATCAGTCTCACCGGGGGAACATCCGAGTGTCTGTGGCAGCCGGCTTTGAGTTATTACTGTCTACCTGGCAAGAGAATATACCACCCCGACCAGTGCAAATCGAGCAATCACAGTGAGCCCTGTTCACGATTGCAGACATTGCAGAGGACCCCGCCGGATGATTTTCGTATTGCCCTTGCTGCTTAATCTGTGTTGTATTACATTTGCACTGTTTAGGTTCGGCATGGATTTATGTATGGTTTCTTTTTTTTCAGACAGACAGACAGACAGACAGACAGATAGACAGATAGATAGATAGATAGATAGCTAGATAGATAGATAGATAGACAGATAGATAGATAGATAGATAGATAGATAGATACTGTAACAAATGCTCGTTGTTAGTTAATTTTAGTTAATTAGTTAATGCATCAACTAATTTTTTTAGCATTTGACAGACCAAGAAAGCAAGCAAAAAAGAAAGAAACTCAAAACTAGCCTGCCCCAAGATTATTGGCAAAAGTGAATGCATTTTTTTTTTATACTTATTTTTCAACATTGGAAAAACAAACAAATGTATGCATATATTTTCTCTCTTAAGTTGCTTAAGTAATTATTATGGTTTGACTACTGGTGTGTGATTGTCTGTGTAAATAACTAATTAGCAAATAATTCAATTACTTGTGTATGAAATAATTTCACACAGATGAAAAATAAATACATATATAAAAATGCTTCACAGTTCACAGGTAGACAGATATGGAAATTGTGGTTGACTCTTTCTTTGTTCTAATTTGAGTGTTTAGAGAAAGACAAACCAAGAGAGAGAGAGAGTACCGTCCACCATGCTGCTTTGTATAAATGCATAAGCAGGTCTTTATGCTACACAGGCATGCATAGAATAACTATGCAACTTCAGCCCTGCAGTAAGATC